CGGGGACTTGGGTAGGAGTTCAGGCCTGGGCGACTCCGGGCTGCGCTGAACCGGCGATAAGCAGGCCCCGCGGCGGCGGCCTCGGCCTGACGTGCGTGGCGCTCCGCCCCTCGGTCAGTTCGATTGGTCCCTGCTGGGCTCCGAGGACAGGCTCCACCCAGCCCTGCCTCCCTCTCGTCCCAACAGCCGAGCCCCACGTCCCCCTCGGACCCTCGCAGACCCCACTGGCCGCCCCACAGGCATCCCATCGGAACCCTACACGGACCCTCGCAAACCCAGATACCCACGGACGTCCCCACAGATATCCGCAAACGCTACCCAGAGACTCTCAAAGAGGTCCCGCAACCCCCTTAAATGACGCGAGCCCCTTAGGTTCCCCCGCTCCAGGCCCGGCGCAGCCCTCTCGGGAGACCTCGTCCACCCCGAGGCGGCCACTGCTGTTGACGCGGAGACTCCTAGGCGTTCCGGTTGCCCTGGTGACGGATCCCTTCTCTTCCCGCCTGGCTTCCAGAGGCTTCAATCAAGTCCCTCCGTCGGCCCCGGACCCCTCGTTCCCCCTCCCTTTCCCCTCCCCAGATCTGGATAAAGCTCCTATGAGAATTTCTGCAGGTGTCCAAGTCTCCTCCCCAAGTCGTTGCCTTGCAGGCAAGACCTGTCACCACACAACACGCTGCAGCCGTTTCATCCACAACCGAGAGCCTTCTCTCTCTCTCTCCGGGCTAACACTTCCCATTCCCAGCTTCAGGCAAGATCGTGACCTAAGGACTTGTAAAAGCCAAGCCAAAGCCCAGAGGTATGTAGTCTCTGCCACTCCCCTCCCCCCCTAAACCCTCATCCCATTTCCCTCCTAACACCTCTGTCCCTTCCCACCCAGTCAACCCCACTCCCATTCTCTACTTTTCATCCTGACCCTCTTCCCCTTCCTTTTCCCCTTCCTCTCTTCCCCTCCTCTGATTTTCCACCCCGACCCCTCAGGTCCCTTTTTCCTCTAGCTGAAGTCTAGTCATCTTCCTCCCCACATCCTACCTCTCCCCCTATTTCCTGTTCCAAACTTCCCCTTTGGAAAGGCTCTGATGAGTGTCAGTGATGTATTTAGTATCTCTGGAGCATGGGGGGAAGTAGGTGCAGGTAAAGTTAAGGCTGGAATTCTTAGGCACTGTTGCAAATGATGACAGGCCTTGAATATCAGGGCCAAGAAATTTGGACTTAACCCTTAGACTGAGTCAATGGGTATTTTTAAGCAAGGAAATGCCATTGTTAGGCTGGTATTTTAGAAAGATAGCCATTGGATCATTAAGGAGGACTCACTTCTTTTGGACATAATTCCAAGATAAATTAGGCATACCCTGCTCTCCACAGCATCCCGGACTTACCCCAGCACAATACCAGTTCATTTATATTGTCATTTTGGTTAGCCAGTCTCCTTCCCAGATTTTTTCAACTGAGTCCAGTGCTTAGCACAGTGTCTGAGTAAAAGTGTAAGGTTAGGCCCTTTATAAAAGTGTAAGTTACATAAATCAATGAAAGAATGGGGGGGTGGATTAATATGCTGGGGGAGGGAGCAGAGGGACAAAGTTATTTCATAATACAGGTAGAAAATGATGAGAACTTGAACAAAATTGGAGGGAAAGGAGAGGAGAGAATGAATTTCGGGGATATTTAGAAGAGAGAAAATACAATCCTTGGTGCCTATTTGAAGCTAAGGGCTGAGGAAACGGGAGAAAACTAGGATAATTCCTAGAGTCAGTTTTTTTTTAATTCTCACCCAAGGATATGCATTTATTTTTATTTTTTGTTTTTGTTTTGGGGGATATGTTTTTATTGATTAGAGAGAGAAAGAGAGAAGCATCAATGAGAGAGAAACATCAATCAAAACTGCAAGTGTCAGTTTTTATGCCCTGTTTATCTATTTAGCTAAGTCCAGTAGGCAGTTGGGTATAAGTGTGAAGTTTAGGAGTTTAAAGAGGTCTGAGTTGGAATTATGGATTTAGGGGTCATCAGAATACAGCTGGAAGTATTTGAAGCCTTGAACATGAATGACATCATCAAGGGAAGGTGTGTGTAGTCCCTAGACAAAAGAAGACCGTGGTCAGTGTCCTGCCATCATGGCATCCTCCTGCACTCTTGAGAGCAAACCCCCAACTTTGCCTGGCATTCCCAGTCTCTAGAATTCCACAGCCTGCTTTTGGATTGGCCAAGTTGCTGTGTTCAGGCTCCCTCCTGGGGCATGGTCCTCTGCTACCATCTACTGATGGGATTCTGGCTGCTTCAGTCTTTCATCCAGCTCCCTCACAACCCATAGTAGGATGCCACATGGGGTCTAGACACGTGTGAACCTCCTGGCACCATACCCTAACACAGAGCTCATCTTGCTTCCCCCTTATATCTTAGGTGCTCTGAGATATATCCTAATTACCTGTCTGTGAACCCTGACTTGTAGACCCTCTAATCCCAACCTAAAGCCTGTACCCTATTCTACCACTAGATGGAAGCAGACGAAGTCACAGAAGAGCCTCATACCACCATGGATGCAGAGGAGCACCCTTCTTCAAAGGACCTCTCTGCTGAGGACTCACAGGAGCCCCCTATCCATGAAACCCCCTTAGAGCCTCCCATCTCTGAGGACCCCATACAGCCCCTTACCTCTGAAACTCCTTTGGAACCTTCCACTTCCCAGAACCTTTTAGAGACCTACACCTCTGAAACCCTTTTGGAGCTTTCCATCTCCAAGACTCCTTTAGAGCCCCAGACCTCTGAATCTCACATGATGCCACCCACTTCCCATACCCCTTTAGAGACCCATACCTCTGAATCCTCTTTGGAGCCTTCCACCTCCAAAGCCTCTTCAGAACACTCTATCCCTGAAAGCCCAGTGGAGACTCACATCCCTAAGGTCCCAGAGGAAAACCTTACTATCCATGACTCATCACCAGACCATATCTCTGTGTCTGCCTCTGATGCTCTGAAGAAAGGCCTCTCCTCCGAGTCTTCCTCCAGTGGGGTCTCATGGGTAAGAAGATCCCTCCAGAAACCTGAATCTGAGATCCTTCAAGAGCATTCCCTCTCAGGCCCTTCAGCCCAGGTCCACCTAGACACATCTGCAAAGGAAAGGGAAGAAGAAGGAGAAGACAAGGAGGGACAGGATGCCACCGACAGCACCACTCACACAGCTCAGCCTGGATGTCATCTGGGCAAGAAGAGGGAGAAGAAAGGAGTTAGCTGTAATTACTCTTGCCCTTTCCCCATTCTCATCAGTGTCTTTCACCTGCCCTAGGAGAAGGGGATTGGGTTACTCTTTGACCTGACCCTTTCTGTTAGTTTTGGGGCCTCCTCACTTCTCCTTGATTACTCAGCCCCTCTCTTCCCAGGTTACACAGTCAGCCCAGTGGTGCCTGCTAAGCAGGCAGAGTTGGTGGAAGTGGCTAAGGCAATGCACAGAGAGAAGTTTGGTGCTCGGGTAAAGAATCTTTTCCAGTGGGAGAAGAATGCAGCCCTGAATGCCATCCAGACAGGTGAGCCCAGACTGCCTTTCGGAGGCTTCCAACAGGCCCTGGGCCATCCTCCAACCCATCAGTTCCTGGGAACTTGCCCATTCAGTGGAGAGCCACACATTGCGGAAATGGCAGTGCCACCTGCCTGAAATCTGGGAGGGAAGCAGACAGGTGGGCCAAGATGGATGGCGTAGTTGCAGATGAAAAATGGGGATATTCATATAAAGCCCAGGTAGGAGCAGGTGACTGAACTAAAATTGTTAAAAACAGAAGGGCTACAGGCCAGCCCCAGATCGGGCTCAGCTCACCTGTACCAAACAGACCCTAAGGAAGAGGACCTGAACAGTCTCCAAGTGACTTACTGCTCTTACATGGCAAAGGACCTTTGTCCCTTGGTGGAACTCTATTAAAAGGCAGTCAACCCTGAATATGAGAGCCATGATCACTTGGGTACCCAAAAACTGTGAGTCTCCACCAGAGTGGAGTCATATCTTCTAGCCCTGTTGGTTCCAAGTCTCAGCCCAGAATTAGTACTCTTGACAGTCCTGTTAGTGGCCTGCTATGCTTATCTATGTCTATATAAAGGGCATGCCTATGTACTATGTAAATGCATGCCATCCTGTGCGTGAGCATGTGTACCGATGCTACTGAACTTTATATCTGCAGGGGTTACCTTCAGTAAGAGGGTCACTCTCACCTGCTATGCGGAGTCTGTGGTTTCTAGACTGAATTCAATATATGTCACTGCATTTATTTCAGTTTTTCATACTTCCTCCTTATGATGGAAGTAGAGTTATGTCAAAACTAGATGGGCCTAAGATATAAAGACAACCAGGTAATTCTATGTCCATACTCCTCCTCCATCTAATTTACTTTCCTCAGTCCCATGCAGGGACCTCCCAGCTCCACCTCTGGGCAAGAAAGTCATAGTGATTTCCTTTGTTTCTCAGTCTTACTTCAATCATTGAAATAGCTTTGTCTGCTTATTTTAACATCTTATGTCACTTTTATTTTTCTTGCAAATGTAGGGTGTGTTCAGTACCCTCCTTCTCCTTCTTAGAACCTCCTTTCTCCTCCCCACTCTTCAAGGCCACTGTACTTGAGATTGGACTTCACTTTCTTGTTTAAACAGGCATTTTTATACTAAAATTTAAGTGTCATGCAATCCTGGACAAAGATATTTTGGGTTCTCTTCTAATACTGGGGATCTTCTGTCCCTGGAGAGCCAATATATGTGCTCTGTAGAGAAGTGTAAGCTTTTCTCTTATTCATTCAACACTTACTGAGCACCAGCAATGCACCAGGCTCAATGCTAGCTGTGGAGGTGGTGGTGCTGATGGGGTTTCCAAGGAAAAAACAAACCCTTATATAATTTACACTTTAATGAGAGACACCAATAAGTAAAAGGACAATCATAATTCATTCTAATAATTGCTATCATTGAGCTCAGCCTGAACAGAGAAAAGGGACAGGCACCCAATTGTGGGAGCTTGAGGAATAACCCTTGGAAGGAATGACTTCTCAGCTGGAATCTGTAAGCTGAAGAAGAGGTAGCCAGGTAAATATGGGATACGGTGAGATATGACAGAGCAAGGCATCAGTAGGAAACTGTAAGCAATGCATTATGCCTGCTGCATAAGGTATTGGGCAGAGTAGCCCTGCTCAGCTATGGAAGGGCAGCATTGTGCAGGCATTTCTGTGTCAAACTCAAGAGCTGGGATTATATCCTGAGGGCAACTGAAAGATTTTAAATGGAACAATAGCATGAACAGACGGGTTTTTGTAAGATCACTCTGGCAGTAGGGTACACTAAAGAAAGACAAGAACTGGAGGCAGGCCCAGCCGGTGTGGTTCAGTGGTTGAGCACAGTCACAAGCACCAAGAGGTTGCTGGTTCGATTCCTCGTCAGAGCACATGCCTGGGCTGCAGCCTCCATCCCCAGTAAGGGGCATGCAAGAGGCAGCTGGTCAATGTTTCTATCTCCCTCTCCCTCTCTCTCTAAAAAACAAACCAAAAAAAATCAATAAAAACATACTATTTTTAAAAAGAACTGGAGACAGGACAACTACATTGTGGGGCACTGGTAATAATCCAAGTAAGAAATGAACGAGTGGAGGTGAAAAGAAGTAGACAAACTCAAGAAATGCTAAGAAGGTAAAACTGACCTTTGGATCATTGGATAAGAGGAAGGGACATGCATGAAATGACATCTAGGTTATTGGCTTAAGTAACTGATTGGATAATGGTGCCATTAACTGAATGCCTAAAATGGAGTACATGCTTGCTAAGTGTGTGTTGGACAAAGGATGAGGGCCAGGTTTGGAAGGAATAATTGGATATAACACATTTAAAGTGCTTGTGGAACATGCTGGTGAAAGAGTCTAGTAGACAACTGGCTATATGGGTCCAAAGCTCAGGAAAGAGGTCTGGGCTGGAGACATCCTTCATATAAAAACAGCTGTATCTTGTATGCAGACATTCTAAGCACAAAGAAATGTTATCATGCAAATGTGATTATGTGATCATGGAATTGACTGTGTTGTGCAGAATCAAAATGGCATCCCAGGTAATGTCTCCTCCCCCTGCCAGTCCTTGTCCATTCAAACAGAAGAGGATTTGGAATCAGGGCACTATTCTGAAATACACAACCAGATGTCAGTTGTCCCACTTAAAGGATGCTGACACCTGTAATAAGAGTCTGAAGTGTAGTTTACCAGTCTACATCTTCAAACTTCAGCCTTCTTCATCTGAAAGCTAGACACTGACTCCTACATCAGTGCTTGGACTTTACTCTCTCAGGCTCTCATGCCAGGCCTTGATCTCTGGGCACTGACCCCTGTTCACTTCCACACCACACCTGCTCACCCAGTGTATCCTGCTATTCTGGATAGAATTCAGAATTCCTCTAGCAGAATCCTGGACCCCACCTATCTCCATTGTGACTCTACCTATACCCTGCCCTGTCAACCAAGACTCCCTGGTGTAATGGGGCACTGGAACTACAGGCTATCAGCATCAAGGCAGAAGCAGCAAAGCCAAAAGCCACATCTGGACAGGCTTTAGATCCTGAGAGACAATGGGTAATACAAGAAAACCTAGTCTTACCATTAGGCACAGAATTGTAGATTATGGCCCTGGCCAGAGTCAAAGACCAGAGGACACTAATTCTTTCTCATCCTCCTTATAGAATGTCAGGGTTATGCCTGGAATACTGAAGGAATTCTCTTCCCTCCTGAAGGAATTTGCTCATTCATTTATTCAGTCAAGCAGTTTTGTGCCAGGACCTGTGCTAGGTCTAGAGATATGGGTGAAAAGATAGGCCCTTTCTTGGAGGAACTCACAGTCTAACAGGAATACAAGTGAACAGTTCATTACAATGCACTGTGCTGTGATAAGAGTAGCACCAGGAGCCATGGAAGGCAAGAGGAGGGGTCCTGCTCGGCTGGTATAGCTCAGCAGTTGAGCGTTGACCTATGATGCAGGAGATCAAGGATCAATTCCCGATCAGGGGACATGCCCGGGTTGTGGGCTCAATCCCCAGTGGGGGGCATGCAGGAGGCAGCCAATCAATGACGCTCTCACCACTAATGTTTCTATCTCTCGCTTTCTCTCTCTTAAATCAATAAAGACATTTAAAAAAAAAAAAAAAAAAAGGAGGGGTCCCTAGAAAAGGGAAGTCAGGGACATTTTTTGGTGGAGGCGACACTTTATTGCAGCCTTTAAATTGGAATAAGAGTCCTACAGCTGAAGGTCCCACTCCATGGGGACTTACACAGAATTCTTGGTTAGAAGTTGGGGTACTCTCAGGTGTCATGGAGAATGAGAAAATCTGAGTGGGAGGTGCTCTCTGGTTCTCCTCCCATATTTACACAGCACCACCACCCTTGCTTGTGGTGAGATTGACCATGAAACCAGACATTTTCAGATCCCACTACTAAAACCAGGCTCTAAAGGTTGTGGCATCTTGCTGGCGCCTGAGCTCAGGAATAATTCCTAGCCTCACCTTCCTTTCCACACCTTCTTTCTTAGTCTCACAAGCTTATATTTTTTGGTCTTTCCACTCATGACTTGTGGCCTACCTCTTTCTCCTGACCCTTGGGGAGCCCTAGGGAGTCCTTCTCCAGTTCATAGAGAGCATTAGTTCAATAATACCAGGAACACAGAAGGAAAGTATGAAGGTGACAACCTGAAGAAATGAGGGAAGCCCTCCTTTTGGCTCCATGCCTGCTCCATCATGCTCTTCTTCAGGTTCCTTCAACAACCATGCTCCTTAGTAGCCAACCCCCACCATCTATTCTACACCTGGCCAATCATCTTCTCTTTCCCTCACCTTAGACACTTCATGGAAACCAAAGTTGGGCTCTAAGGTAGATGACATGAGAATCCCAACAGTCACAGAAAACTCATTGAGATTCATGTTCATCTTCAAACAAAATTTCATTTATAATCTTCCTGCTCAGAAACTGAAGACTGAGTTTAGGCATCTCTGACAGGTTGACAGAGATGGAGTAGATCCTGGGGTGGGGAGGGAACTAAAACACTTATGGGCGATAAGAAAACCTTGAGGAAAACAATCTAAATGGGCAGGGATAAATACACCTGGGGGAAGAGGCGAGGCCCCACCAGGAGATAGGTGAGAACACCTGGGGGAGCTTAGGCTATTTTTCCTTCTTACTTGTCCTATTACTCAATCCCACCAATTCCAGGTCTCTACATTGGCTGGCGTTGCCCCCATTATCTATGGGACTGTTTCCGGGTTGGGGATGAGTCCAAGTGCTTTTGTGGACACTTGTTGAGAGAGCACCAGATCATATCAGGTAGGGAGAACTGAGTTATCCCTCCCAGCCCCTGTAGGTGAGGCGGGATAACTGTACTGTCATGTGTTGGGATGTATGAGAGAAAGTGTGTGTGTGTGTGTTGGTATGGAAGAGGGTGTTGGCATGGGAATGCCAGGCCCTATCAGGTGCTGGTCTAATCCTACCACCCATCCCCATTCCCATAGACATATCTGTGCCCTGCAAAGTGAGCCAGTGTCGCTGCCTCATGTTTTGCTTTATCCCATCACGCCCAGAGGAGGTGGGTGAGTTCTGGCTCAAGAGACGGGCCACCTTTGACCCCAAAGCCTGGAGAGCTCAATGTCGCTGCAAACACAGCCATGAAAACCATGCAGCTACCGGGTCCCACCCCTGCAGGGTCAAAGGTACCTTCTAAAACAAAGGGAGTGCAGAGGTGGGCATGGGTGGGGATAGGATGCATATAGTTTGGAAGTAAGGATACGGAAGCTGGTAGGAGAGACTTGGTTTTGTGGGTGGTGAAGAAGAGATGAGAATGTAGTCAGCCCATGGGGAAGCCCCAATTCCCTATACTTTTCTTGGCTGTCCTCTTGCCCTAGGCTGTCGCTGCAACTGCTTTGAGTCTAATTTCCTCTGTTCGGCCTGTGACCGGCGCTGGGAGGAACACGAGACTTACTTCGAGACTGAGGAGACCCGGCGACGAGGAGGGAGGCCTCACGGTGAGGGGGGTAACCTGGAAAAGGGAACCATTCCAGGGTCTGTAGTCAGAAAACCAGGCAGAAAGGCACTCCCATCCTCAACCATCCCATCTAAGACTACCTCCCCACCTTTACCCCCTGCATCCCATGCCTGCATTGGTTTCCACCCCTAGGAGCAGACTATGTGCCTTTGGCAGAGATTCCTACCCTCCAAGAAACCATCATCAGCAACACTGACTTCGAGGCCCTACAGAAGCAGGGGCCCTCTGGCCATCCCAGCTCCCACCCTCGTCCCCCTGGGCTCCCTGGTCCACGCCACCTCCAACCTGGCCCTACATCTAACCCCCATACCTGACCCTTTCACCTCTGCTCTTCCCCCCTCTAGGGACAGACACTGGCAACACCTGGCACAGGCCTCTGTGAGCCTGGCCCAAATCGGCAATAAAGGAGAAGCTACTGGATTCTGATCTGGCTCTATTTGGGGCAGCTGGAGCCCAGCCCAGAGACAGACATTCTAAGACCTTAGAGTCCGCACCTACTGGGGGCAAAAGAGAGCACCACTCAGGAGAGAGGCAGGATCCAGCCATCTACCTTCACCATACCCACATTTAACCTGGCATTAGGAAAGAGTGGCTTCAGAGAAGCCAAGGAGGCAGGGGGTTTCAAGGATAGAGTGTGCAGTGACGTTAGATGCAGCTGTGGTTGCCAGTAAGATAAAGACTAAAAAGTGCCCATTGGATTTTGCAATTAGAAGGTCTTCGAGGACTTCAGAGAGTAATTTCAGTGGTGCAGTGGAGGCAGGAGTTTCTTTAAGAAACTTGAATGAAAAGAGCAGTAGAGAAGTTAGACAATGTCCAGAGGGAGATGTGGAGTTGAGGAAGCATTTTTTAAGAAGAAAAAAGGGAAGAGGCCAGTAGATAAAAAGACCTTGAAGGAGGCAGAAGAGAAAGAGAAATGCCTGGTGAGACAAGATCCCAGAGATGGAGAGAGGGGATGAAGTGAAGGGATTTGCTTTGGACAGGAGAGACACTACTTCCTAAAACCAAGAGGAAGGAAAGAAGAAAGGATGGGGCCTTCACTGCACTGCAGGGAGCAGGATCTCATGACAGTTCCCCTGTGAAGTAGGAGGTGAGGTCAGTTTCTGGTGGGGATGGAGGGAAGGCTAAGAGTGGAGAGTAGGAGACAGGAAAAGAGGTGAAGGTTTGAGAAGGCTAATGTGAGGAATTGGAGAAAAATCTGATCAGTGGGGTGCTTGAGGATTAAGGTACAGTTGGAAACAGGAACCTAGTTAGAAAAGCAGAGAAGCAAAATATTTAGATTAATGGGTTTTGATGCGGGGGAGGATAATCATCAGGAAAATAAGGCAAAAGAAGGACTGAAGATGTGGAGGGAGCTGACCATACACTTGGGGAAAGTGAAGCCAGGAAGCAAAGGAATAGAAAGAAGTCTCTAGTGAGGTCCAGTAGCAGATGTAGTGGTGGGGATGGGAGTACATGAAACAGTGGTCAGAACCTGCAGAGCGGTTCAGCTTTCAGATTAGAGCAGCTGCTGGTGATTACAAGGCTTGGATTAGAGAAGACTGTGGGCCAGGTGCCAAAATCAGTGAATGTCAGCGAGTGTGACCTGAAAGCCCATAGGTGGCTCTTATGGGGTGTAGGAGATTCTGACACTAATGGGCTCTGCGATCCTAGGCAAGTCACTTTCCCTCTCTGGGACTCAGTTTGTGGATCTGTAAAACAGGAATAATCTCTGTGCTGCCTCCTATGAGAACCCAAAGAAATAACCAGTTTCAAAGTACTTCGCACTCACCTGCCCATCCTGGCTACCCATCCTCTTCTCAAATTCCAGTTCCTCTTATCTCTTGCCCTTCTCCAGAGCAGCTTTAGGGGCTGCTGCTATCAGAGAAGCATATCAACAAAAGGTGCTGCACTCAAGCCAATGATAACAGGAGTCCCCAATCTGGGGTGCAATAAAAGGAGAAACTTTATTCAGGTAAAGTTTGTAAACCAGGGAGACAGCCTATGACAGAATCGGAAAGTACACTCTGCCAAACCAAAGAGGCCTGCTTTTATAAAGTTCCTTCCTGCCCCATCCCTAACTGGTCCATTTCTGTGCAGATGAAAAATCCAAATTTGCAGTCTCATTAGTCCAAATAGCATTGTCCTGATTGGTCAGAACCACTAAATCTGATTGGTCATTATAGAGTTGCTCTGATTGGTCAGTAAATATGCAAATAAGGATATAGCTGTGCAATTCTGATTGGATAAGGTAGGTCTCAGCCTATTGGTTGAAAGATAATTCCAGAAACTCCTTTATAAGGGTGGGCTCAGCCGACTGGAACACTGGCCAGGAGGCTGGCAGTTCTGTTTGTGGCTTTCCCCTAAATGCAGTGTGTGTTAGAGGCCTCTGTCAGCAATGGCTGCTGGACTCTGATTATAAATTTGAACCCAGTTAACCATAAGGAGTTCTTCTGGCAGGTATATTCCTTCTTGGAATCAACAGGCATCACTAAGAACTGTAGCCTCTAGGGCACTAAGAAAAGGCTCATCTACATTTCCTCACATTTGGGGAGGCTGTCTATCCTTCCAAGAGAAGAAATGCAACTTGGACTGCCAGAACTCTTGGGGGAAATCACATGGTCAAATGTCTGCCCTTTGGAGGAGAAAGGACTTTCTAACAATAATAGCATGGCTGCCCAGCTGGTGTTGCTCAGTGGTTGAGCATCAACCTGTGATCCAGGAGATCAAGGTTCAATTCCCAGTCAGGGCACATAGCCGGTTTCGGGCTCCATCCCCAGTAGGGGGCGTGCAGGAGGCAGCCAATCAATGACTCATCATTGATGTTTCCATCTCTCTCCCTCTCCCTCCCTCTCTCTGAAATCAATAAAGACATATTTAAAATAAATAATAGCACAGCTATACCAAAGAGATCATTACTAGTTCCAGAAGTAAAGAGTTCCTCCTCACTGGTTACATGCAATTAGCACCATGATGACCATTCACTAAAACTAAGTTAATAGTCAATGATAAAGGAATGGTTACTATAATAAACACATTCAAGGAAGTATTGTGCAGCCCTTACAAAGTACAGTATATTCACACAGACTATAATATGAAAAATTCTAAGTGGAAAAATAAAATATGCAATATATATGTATTATACTATAAAAGAAAAAGAAAACAAATGTTATTCATTCTGCAAATTAGGCCATATGCTACAAAACAAAACTAAAATTACAGTGGAGACCTTTATCCTATGTTAAACATGAGACTAAAACTTACCTGGTATAAGTATATTCGCATTTCATGACCCTCGTATTTCTTATGTCAAAGATATGTATTCCAGCAGAACAAAATATACTTCAGACCTAGCCATGACACATTTCCCTTGTCCTCCTAACTCTACTCACTGAAAATATCAGGCACAGAGTTAACCGTATCACCCACCTTTTCTAATTAGGAAAGGACAGTTGCTTATTAGTCCTGTGGCCAAGATAGGACACACACCCAGCCCTGCCTGGTAGAGAGAAAAATGCAAAAGCTGTCCTTAAAACTGCAGAATCTTTCACCTTGGAATGAACATATTAACGAGAACATAAAGGAGGAGTTGCCTCTAGGTCAGCGATTTTCAACCGGTGTGTGTCAAGAATTTTTAAAACATGCAATACTTGACTATTTAGTCAGGGGCACCTGACTTGGACCTCTTTTCCCAGCAGTCAAAAAAATGACAACAGCCAACACAATAGCCATCAGGTGTGAATGAATCAAAATTATACTTTTTTTTAACAGATCACTAAAATTTTTGGTGTGCTGCAGAATTTCAGTAACTTATGTGTGGCATGAGACGGAAAAGGTTGAAAATCTCTGGTCTACAGCCTCACAGGCTTTGCCGGCAGGTGACAGCGCCGCCTCCCCGGCGGGCCCAGCAGTGGGGGCCTGACGGGAATAGCAAAAGCCCCGCCCCCTCCAGCGCCGCACCTACACGCGGCCTCAGTGTGAATCAGAGCCAATTGCAGGGAAAATCCCACCTCTTGGTCTCCTTTTCCTTCCAATGGAGTGAGAAACTAGTTAGGGGATCCAATGGAAAAGGGACTTTCACGCTGATGAGAAGACGGAGTCAATGGAGTGAAAAAATAGTCGAGTTGGCAAAGGCGCCAACGGGATGAAAAGATTAAGCTCCTCCGGGCTAAGGGGCGGCCTGGAGGAGAGCAACCAATGGGATGGCAGGACTCGCCGGTGGCTGCTGGCCGAGCCAATCGCCGCCGCTCGCTCTCCGCCAATCTCGCGGAGCTACCCCGGCGGGCTGCCAGCAGAGCCCAGTGCTGGCCCTGGTGACAGGTTCCCGCGGCCGAGGGGAAGATGGCGGCTGCCCTGGCGCTGGCAGCCGGGCTGCGCGCGACGCGCAGGGTTGTGGCGGTCGCGGGGCTGCGGGGGGCGCAGGTGAGAAGTGGCCGAGGGGGCGAGGAGGGGGTACTGTGGGCTCTGACGCCCTCCGGGGCCGGCGGCCGTAGTCCTCCCCGGCTCCCCCAGACGCGCGCAGCCCTGCGGCCTCGCGGGGACGGAGCGCGGGGTGCAAAGTCCGGGGCTGCGCGGTGAGGTCGGACTGGTGGTCCTGGCGTCCTCCACGCATTAGTGAAGTGGCGATGACCGACGCCCTGCACAGCCCCAGGCGCCGATGTCCGGACAGGGTCGGTGCAGCCGCTGCTGCCTTCTAAACCTGCCTGCAGCCCAGCCGACCGGACGCCTGGTCCCGGCAGCCCCCTCAGTGCCCCCTGCAGGAAGTGAGCTTTCTGGTCTCTGCAGCCAGTTGTCTGTCCTCTTTCAGGCTGCTGGCCTTCTATTGAGTACTAGTGTTAACCTCTTATCTTTCCCACTTTGCCAGAGCTACTGGAGGGGTCAGATTCATCCTGTCCTTTTCTCCCACAACGTGACAGCACTAACTTCAGCCTTTCTGAGTCCCAGAGAAACTGGGACTTGCCTACCCTCACTCCCCTGGGTCTGAGTTCACTTAACTGAACTCTTCCACTGATTCAAGGGACTGGAGTTAATCGCTGTAAGAGGTCAAATGTGACACCCAAACGCCCTTGTGTCAAAAGGCAATTTTATTGAAACCTGAAAAAACAGGTAACATCGCTTAAAGATCAGAAAACAAGTAATGGAAATAAGTAGAAACATTAACAAGGTGAAAGTATATGGAAAGAACTCCAAGTGGTGTTAAGAAATGATGCAAACAGCTCCCTTTATTTTACATTTGAAGCCAAGAGAAGGGATTTATCTAAAGTAAATCACTGGTAAATAGGAATTGGGAACTAAGTCTCCAGGTTCTCATTTTGGATCTTTCCCCCTGAACAGTGCTAGATTTCCTAAACACTTTAGAAGCAGAAATCAACTGGACTGCTGAATCTTGCATTATGGTACTGCCTGTTATCTAACCAGGCCCAGCACTTTCTGGCCCTACTCTGCTGCTGATGCTCTGAAACCGAGGAACTGTTTCTTTAGGTGGGAACCACTAGTAGGTTCATAGAAGGGTGAAGTTAATGACCATCAGCCCAGCCTCTGCCAGCCCCAACTGAGTACATGAGAGAAGTATTACCAAATCTCTCCCTCAGATGTGTTTGACCCACCTTCAGGTCCGAGGAGCTGCAGGTGTGAATGATGGGAATGAAGTGGCCAAGGCCCAGCAGGCAGCTCCTAAGGGAACAGCCCCAACCATCTTCTCGAGGATTCTGGATCGAAGCCTTCCAGCTGATATTCTATATGAGGACCAGCAGGTGGGGTGCCCTTAGTGCCCATCCCATAGGAATTTCATAGATACCATCCAGCCTGTGGAAGTAACATAGTGGCCTCTGGCCTGTTACTGCTCCCAGTGTCTCGTATTCCGTGATGTGGCCCCTCAGGCTCCTGTGCACTTCCTGGTCATTCCCAAGAAGCCCATTCCTCGGATCAGCCAGGCTGAAGAAGAAGACCAGCAGGTGGGAAAAATAGGGCCAGGGTTTGGCTGGGGGAGCCCTGGCTTCAGCCAAAGGCTTTGCTCCTTGCAAATAAAGCCACCTGTCTCCCTCCCCTTTCCCTGTAGCTTCTAGGACACCTTCTCCTTGTGGCCAAGAAGACAGCAAAGGCTGAGGGGTTGGGAGATGGATACCGACTTGGTGAGTGGCTTGGCCCTTGAGCCCCTCACCAATGAATTCTCATACCCACTTCTTAATATGATCTTCATTCTTTGACTTTTCCCATGATCCTGACCCACTAACCCCAAGCTCCATTTCAGTGATCAATGATGGGAAGCTGGGAGCACAATCTGTGTATCACCTGCACATTCACGTACTTGGGGGCCGACAGCTCCAGTGGCCTCCAGGCTGAACCTACCAACTGCCCAAGGACCCCATTCCTGGATGCTTGGATGGGGTAGAGGGAAAGGGACCCTGTGATGCTAATAAACTTGCTCTCCCTCAATTTTGGATCCCTGTCTTAAATATAGAGAGAGGTTTTACCACAAATAGGAAAGAAAGGGTTATGATCCCCTTTGACTATGGTCTGAGTAAGAAACACTAAGGAGGCCCATTCTGTAGTTAAAAAAGCATTTGTCTATATAGATCTGTGAGTCCTCATGACTAGTGATCCACCTGAATCAAGCTTCTAGACAAGTAGCAGTAGGAATAAGCCTAAATGAAGAGACTGAATCCCAGGAGTGAGATATGCTCAATCCTGGCCCTTATCCAGCTGCCAATCCAAATAAATTATAAGAGGTTCTGGGAGGAGAGTGGTCAATGCAAGGGCCTTTCATTGGGAATGAAGTAATCACACCCCAGAAAAGCTGCTACCCTTTGACTAAGCCCCGAGTCTCACCATTTTGCCTTTAAGCTGTTGTCTGATGTATTTTCATCCTTAAAATATTTGAAAAGGCTCCCCCAACTTTTGCGAATGAGCTAAGGGGAAGCTGCTGTTACCCACTACATAACATCCCTGTGCCTGTCTCCAATACAACCACCTTAGAAAACCTCAAAGAATCATGCTTCGGTATAGAGGGCGAGGCCTTAGACCAGCGGAACCTTAAAAGCCGGGGATGAGACGGAATGTAGTCCGGACGGAAATTGGACTTCCGCCCCGCACCAGATTTATGACTTCCGCCCTGCAGGGAATTTGCCTCCGCCTCCCCACCCTTCAGTCCGCCCAGCTCAGGTTCTGCGCAGTCTCCTGGAATTATTTGCCGTCTCTATGGCAACCCGGTAGCTGGTGTCTGAAGATGGAGACCCTTGATTCTACCGAGGAGGGATCGTGGTCACGGTGAGAGACGCAGCTCTGACTGCAGGCATTAGGGGACAAGGAAAGTCAGTGGACTTCCTCTGCCGAGTTTTGGACAATTTTGACGCATTCACTTTCTTTCAGATCTTTACCAGCACAGCCCAGCTCCGAAGGACTAGAGTCCTCTTCGGAACCGTTTCCTTCTTCAGATGCCGCTCCTAGGTCTGCCCTGGCAGCTGCAGCCGCAGCAGCTGCAGCTGCTGCTGCAGCCAGTGCAGCAGCCTCCACCGCCAAAGCAGCTGTATTATCTGCAAAGATCCATGTGCCCTATTCTGAGCGAAGCCTTCTCACGGATCCCTCCTCTGACAGTCTTCTTGGGACGCCCTGCCCTGGACCCAATTTTACTCACAAGATAGTCCATGGGAGACTTGGCTTTAAGCCTGATGTTTCCTATATTGTTCGGGACCCTTGTACTACAAATGATCTTAGCTCTACCCCTGACCCTTGTACTGGCTCTAGCTTTTTCCCGGTTCCTGGCCCTGGCCCTGGCCCTGGCCCTGTTCCTGGCTCCAGCTCTGGCCCTGGCCCTGTTCCTGGCTCCAGCTATGGTCCTGGCCATGGTACTGGCCATGGCTCTGGCTCTGGTCAAGGCACTGATCCTGATTCTCGCCCTTGTCCTGCCTGTGACTCTAGGCCTGCTCCAGGCTCTGGCAATGACCCTAAGTTCAGGCCCTATACTGTTAAAAGCTTCAGAAATCCTGTGACAAACCTGGCCCCTAATTATGCCTCCTGGAATCACAGCCAAAACTGGGAGCCTCAGAAACAAACCTGGAAATTTTTGCCAGTACCAGAACCTGCTGCTGGAAGGCTATGGAAGCTGCCTGAGGTTGAAGGGAAGCATAAGGTTCTCAGTGAAAGCCTATGGAAGCCCCCTGGAGTTGAAGGGAAGCATGAGTTTCTGAATGAAACATTGCCACGGGGCCACTCCCTTCTCTACAACTGGGAGGAAGAGGTATTAAGGTTTTGACCTGCTCCCTTTTCTTGAAGGCTGCCCCCAGTTTCCTGGGGGAGTAATTAGTGTATGATGAGAGTGGGTACCAGAAAGGATATGATCACTCAACTTGGGGCCCACAGAGAGCCACCAACCACCTGGATCAAGTCCCAAGCATTCAGGATGGCTCCGAAAGTTTCTATTTCCGACATGGACACCAAGGACTGCTAACTCTGCAGCCACAGTCACCCATACCCCTCAGCACCACCATGAAAGACTCATACCAGCCCCCAGGAAACCGCTATCAGCCAATGCAAGGTATGAAACATGAGGCAATGGACCAGAATGAGTCTACTAGTCAGAGAAAAAAGAGAGAAAGGGATTTCTAGTGGGACTATAGATTGTCCAGTGGGTTTAAGGGCAAAACCCCATGATTTTCCTCCTTTTCTCAGCTTCGTTTATTCTGGACCTGCTTCTTAACCAGACTCCCTCACTCTGTCCACTCCTGCCCTCCCACAGGAAAGCGTACAGCCATGCTGGAGATGCTCCTGTGCCACCAGATCTGGTGAGAGGCTGGGTGAAGGGGAAGGGGGGGAGGGACAAAAACCAGGGAAGAATGGCTTTGATGCTCCCATGACTGTATAGTAAAGAGGTGCAGGCAGAGCAGGAACCCACAAGGAAGCACTCTGAGATGGAGTCTGTGACACACCATGACTACCAGAAGGAGCTGGTGCAGGCAGGGCCTCCTGCCCCAACAAAGGTGAGAACCCATCCCACCCCACATGTACAGCTGGGCTCGGGGGGGAGGGGAGGGGGAGCTGTGGGAAAGCAGCAGGCCCAGAGGTTAAGAGAGGGGACTTCACGCCAAGAGTTATTCAGTATTTCTCTCTCACAGCCTCATGACTACCGTAAGGAGCAGCCTGAAACTTTCTGGATACAGAGGGCACCACAGCTACCAGTGTGTGAGGGTGACTAGGTGTTGGGAGTGGGGGAGAAGGAAGGGAAAAGGCTGTTCTGTTCTGGCTTGGCAGAGAGTAGGATCTGTCCTCATTCTGGCATTCCTGCAGGGTGTCAGTAACATCAAGACACGGGACACGCCATTCCGGAAGAACTGCAGCTTCTCAACACCAGTGCCTTTGTCCCTGGGGGAGCCTTTGCCCTATGACCCTGAGAATTATTCCCACCAATTGGGAGAAATCTCTTCTCTTGGCTGTCAGGGAAGAGGGCAGGGTTGCAGAGGGGGTAGAACTGTCTAAGGGTTAAGGAGGGAAGTGATGTCTGGAATATGGAATCTACTTCTGTCTGTATTGGAGAGGTGGGGAGGAAGTGAATTCTGTTTGTACTTGGTGAAGGGGCTTTACATAAAGGGTTCTTTCTCATCCTGAGTCTGCTAATTCAGTGATTCCCTGAATTTCCATGTTCACACCCCATAACATTCCCTTGGAGTTGCCCTTAACCCAGACTATGACATCATGATTTTTTTTGTTTGTTTTATATTTGGCCAAAATATTCTGGTTTAGATACAGATATTTACAGAAGGAAGGGAAGAAGAGGACCAGGCCAGAGAGGGGCAGGTATATGTACAAGGCTGAGCTGCAAAGGTCAAGAACTTCCATATAAGGTAGGGTTTTTGTGCACGCTGGTTTCCATCTCATATGGCAATGTCCATTTCTGGTGTATGGAGAGATGATAGCCACTGCCTACCCAGGTACCAGCAGCAGGAGATTGTCTGACTTGAAAAGAATAGGGGTTTACAGGAGTCCAGCAGGTCCTTTCCGCTCTCCTAGGAGCCAGTAAGTTCGCATCTTTCCTTTTCCCTGGGAGCAGGGGAGTGGATATAATTCAGATTCTTCTGTGTTATTCCCTTTGTCTCCCTCTCTTCCCCCAGGATCCCCATAATCACTTTCATCCTCCTTTCCATGACCCCCTCCCCATGGCCTGCCATCACCTTCATCTCCACATCCCCCCGAAGCTCTAGCTGGAAGCATCCTAGCTCATCCAGGGCATCCTTGGTGGTAGAGGAGACATGGATCTTCAGGGCTGGGGTGGGACGGGGGAATGGTGGAAAGAAGAATAAAAGAAAAGGCAACAGAAGAATTGGTGGTGTTAGAGAGAGATTTACCCAACCACCACCCCTCAGGAGGCTCTGTCTTCCCAGTGCCCATGCGCCAGACCCTAAATATGTCCAAGGATGGGGCAGTCAGGAACTGTGGTCTCAGACTGAGAGATTTTGAGGAATTCTGAAAAGAAGAAGAGGGCAACACAGGTTGAGACTGAAGCTGAGATTGAGGGCTAACATCTCACCTTGACCATTAGACTCCATTCGGGAAGCAGTGTTCACCGTGTCTCCGAAAAGGCAATAGCGGGGCATCTTCAGGCCAACAACCCCAGCACAGACTGGGCCTATGAGAAGAAACAGGTTGGGAGAACGTGGGAAAAGTGGATACTAGGGCTGGAGTGAGAGTTAACCTTACCCGTGTGGACCCCTATGCGTAGCCTCAGTTGGTCATGGGGTCGGTGGCGAATTCGGAAGGAAGAAACTGCATCCAGTAATGCTAGGGCCATACGAGCAATTTCCGGGGCATGGCGTTGACCATTTCGGCCTGGGAGACCAGATACCACCATGTAGGCATCTCCAATCGTCTCTACCTGATTGAGAGGGGGATTGAAATGTCACTTCTATCTGTATCAATGGGAATAGGGAAGAGTAAAAGGAGACAAGCTGGATACCACTGTAAGTCATCCTGACAACCTGGGAGGCCAGAACACTGACACTGACTAGAAAAATAAGTGCCATGGTCCTAAGACTAGGGGGACAAGGAAGGGGAAGTCAAGGGAATCTAAATCCTCTTGCTCCACCCCAGCACCTGGTGAATACTCAGTTAATGTTTGCTGAATGGACACTGTTTGCAACAGGACAGGGACAAAGAGGTTGCTGTCAGAAAATGGGAAGCAAGAAAACAAGACTGACCTGAAGAGCACAGAGGCTGGAGGAGGTCAAGTAGGCCCAATGAAATGGGCCTCAGACAGCATAAACTGTCAAAGGTTAGAAGACAGGTGCTTGGTTTTGTCAATTGTACTGAAGCTGTGTAAGAGAATGTCCTGTTTTTAGGAACTAAACACTGAACTGTTTAGGAAAAAGGGAAACTATGTCTGAAACTCACTCTCAAATGATTCAGAAAGTAATTATACAGATTTTTAAAATAAAACAAATGGGGGAAATATAAAAAATTGGTGAATCTGAATAAAGGGTTTATGGGAGGTCTTTGTTACAGTTATAACAGAGATGGTAGAGTAAATCCAAAGGGAAGGGACAGGAATGGATATTTATTAACTACACAGTGTTAGGTAGTTCCCATATTACAAGTAAGACATCTGAGGCACAGGGAGTTTCTGTTACTTGCCCAAGGCCATACAATTAGCCACAAAGCCAATATTCAAATAATTTTTACTCCCAAGCACAATACAGCCCACCCTGTGCCAACTCACTGACTTCAACAAAAAACTTTTACAACATAGTCTGTCCCTCACCCCAATGCATCATTCTGTACCCACATCCTGTATGATTCTTCCATGTCTGGGGGGATGGAGAGAAGAGAAAAGATGGATGGGTTGCATTTATACCCTTAGGAAAATTTAGCAGATGGGGGCTAAATATTGTAACGGTTCCAATTAAGGGAGCCTAAGGATTCCCAAGAAATTAGACTGGAACATACAGTTAGAGTGCCAGAGCCTCATTTGTCTACAAAGGGCACTCCAGCACTAGGATGCTGGAGACTCAGGAGGGAAAATTGACCATGGAACAGGTAAGGCATGTGGGGTTCAGGGAGACTGGGTTTTAAAGGGGTCTCAGTAGGAAGGTGGCCCCAGCTCTCACCTTGTAGACGTCAAAGTTGTCAATTATGGCATCAAAGCAGGTATACAGGTCATTAAGAAGTGTCACCACCTAATGGATGGAAAAGTTGAGGCCCTGAGAATTGTGCCCAACTTTCTAATGATTCTTAACCCAAGAACCAGAACAAGATACAGGAACTCTAAAACAAATTAATCTTTCCTATTATCAAGGATCCCTATTACCCAGTGAAGTTCCCCCAGGTCGCTATCCCACCCCCTAATCTCACCCATGGTCTCACCTGCATGGGGGTGCTCTCTGCTGATAAAGCTGTGAAGCCAACAATGTCACTGAAGTAGATGGTAACACTGTCAAAGGCCTCGGCCTGCACAGTCTCTCCCCGCTTTAACTGCTCTGCCACTGAACTAGAAAGCAAGGGTGTAGTTTGAGCCAACTCAGAAAGATGATGAGACGGGGAGGACGGAAAGGAGTGTGTGGCCGGATCAGAAATGAGTTCTAACATGAAAGCTGAGCCTGGTGGAGGAGAAGGAAGGTGGCTGGGAAGACATCACGGTCTAGCATAAAGTAATGGGTGAGTGAAATGGGCTCCCTGGGGATGGTGGCTAAATGTCTCAAGTTGGGATTGTTCTACATACACTTGCTAGAGCAAAGGCATGTAGACCAGTGTCGTAAGAAGAAGGCAGCACAGCTCATTTGGAGACAGAATGAAAACAGTCTCTAGCCAGGAAGGCTCACTGTGGCCAGACGCAACAAAGCAGTGTTCTGAGAGTTGGGAGGCAAGTTAGGAGATTGATGAGGCAGAATCCAACAGAGCAGAATATCAAAGGAAAAGTCAGGAAGGGGGACAAAAGTCTCACTGGGGTAGAATTTGATAGAGCAGAGCCTCAGCCTTGCGTTTCTCCTCCAGATAGGCCTGTGTGCGTTCCTCCACCAGCTTCTCCAGGTTATTGGCATACTGCTCCATGCGCAATAGGAGGTTGTCCAGTATGCTCGTGCCACCCTCCCTGGGGGAGGAAGCAAGAATATAGTACCTGCTCCAAGATTCTCAAGACTCCCAGGACTCTTCTACCCAACCCACACTCTTGGCCCCAACCAGCCCCACCTCATCCATTAAACCTGATGAGGCTCTATCCCTGGGGAGCCCCTGCCCCTCAGTGCCCTCTCACTTGTTAAAACGGCGAATGAAGCACTTAATCTGTCCAAAGTCTGGCCGCTCAGCTGAGTCCTGGGCCCAACATCGCTCCATCAGCAAAACTAGTTCCTCATTCAGTTGGGTCCGGTCAATGCTAGGCCGGAAATATGGCCGCTGACCATTTCTGACCTTCTGAACAATCTCTGAAGGAGATAAAGAGTTTGGATAAAGAACAGCGCCTCCCCCCC